AATAATAATAATAATAATAATAATAATAATAATAATAATAATAATAATAATAATAATAATAATAATAATAATTTTTTGCAGGCGGAAACTTATTTTCTTGCAAGTTTCCTGCTTATTGCAAAGAAAAAAAAAAGAAAGTTGCCTTGGGTCAAAGCTTTCCTTACTCCTAACAATGGGACAAAGGAGAGGGGAAAACAGAAGTTCTGGGTTCTTTTATCTCATTCATGTAGAACAAGCTCCATAAAGTCCAGGGAATTCTTTTTTTTTTTTAATTTTAAAAAAGATGAGCTGGAAAAGAGGGTTGGAAGCACTTTTTTTCCGGGAGGGAGAGTGGGAAGGAGGAAGCAACCTGTGGAACGGTACTGACAATTGTGCTATGGCGTATTTCAACTTGATCTCTGGTCTCTCTGTCTCTCTGTCTCTGTCTCGGGCTCTGTCTGTCTGTCTGTCTGTCTCTCTCTCTCTCTGTCTCTCTGTCTCTCTCTGTCTCTCTCTCTCTCTCTCTCTCTGTCTCTGTCTCTCTCTCTGTCTCTGTCTCTGTCTCTCTCTCTGTCTCTCTCTGTCTTTCTCTCTCTCTCTCTCTCTCTGTCTCTGTCTCTCTGTCTCTGTCTCTGTCTCTCTGCTCTCTCTGTATATCTGTCTCTCCCTCTCCCTCTCTCCTTCCCTCTGTCCCTCCCTCCTTCTCTCATGCCCTCTCTCTCATAGCTCTAGGGAGGTTGATTTCAGGTACTTAACCCCGCACCCTTCAAGGCAAGCCCCCTCTTAGGGATGGTTTTGTAATTGTAATGGGATGGTGGGCCCAAACAGCCCCCCTCCTGGTGATATTATGGATGTTTTTTAAAGCACAGCCTGCTCCATTTAAAAAAAAACAAAACACAACCACCTCAACTCTCCAACTTTCCCAAAGATTTGAGCCACTGAAGGAATGCTAATCCCTTCTTCCAAGATACCAGCTCCCGCCCCCTCCCCCACCCACACAAGATAAAGGGAGATAAATAAATAAATAAATGAAAAGGACAAGAATTTTCCCATATCACAGTGGGGGGGGGGGAGGAGGAGAAGGAACGAATGTCAATGGTGGGTTGGAGGGTGTTGAAAAAAAAACAGAATTTTTTTTAAAACAACAACATTGGAGTCCTTCCTTTCTCCATTGTTCCTGAGCACCTGGAGATGGAAGCCGGGAGCAGATCCAAGATTCCACTTCAGAGTGGATCAAGATCTGCTCCAGAGGTGATTTGGAGAAAGGCTGACTTGGAGATCTGGTGATCTGAGTGGCTAGAGATCAAGATCTGGCCCAGGGGTAACGGGGAGAAAGACTCGCTTAGAGATCTCAAGATCTGACCCGACTAGGGATCTGCACCAGTGGTGATTTGGAGACAGAATCCCTAGAGATCTGGTGATCTGACTGACTCGAGGTCAAGATCCGGTCTGGACATGGTTTGGAGAAAGAATCCCTAGAGATCTGGTGACCTGATTGGTTAGAGGTCAAGATCTGGTCCAGAGACGGTTTAGAGAAACACTCACTAACTAGCGGATCTCGAGATCTGACCGATTAGGGAATCTGCTCCGGAGGGCGGGGGGATCTGGGGAAAAACCTGACTAACCGGAGGGCCTTGTTTCTCTTTTTCTCCTCTCTTTCCAAAGGAAGCAGAGATCCCTCAAGAGTTGATTGAAAGGCTGGCTCACAGCGAGATTCACAGCATACGGGATTTGCAGCGTCTCCTGGAAATTGATTCCGTAGGTAAATTATTCCCTTGCATTTCTTCCTATACCCCAACCAAAACGTGTGTGTGTGTGTGTGTGTGTGTGTGTGTGTGTGTGTGTTGGGTGGGGGGTGGTTACCAAGAGAGTGGGGGGGTAGACTCCTCTTGGCAAATGGCCTGCCAAGAGCCAGTTTTAGAAATGCAAAAAACCAGGCCTACCAGTTGGGGAAGGGATAGGCAGAGAATCCACAATGGATCGGGGAGGGGGCTTCATTCTTTCTCCTTGGGGGAAGGGGAAAGAGGTTTAGGAGGAGGAGGAGAGACTGAGTTTGGCTCCCCCCTTCCCCACATCTTCCCAAGCCACCAGAAAGGGCTTGTTTCCCGCTCCCCTCCCCTCGCTAGGGGGCTGTCCACTTGTGTATGATATTCCTTTCATTCCGGTTTAAAATCTATTTGTGAAAACCACACAGAGCCGAAGGACTGTATTTTCCTGGATCCTCCTCCTTCCGCTTCTTGCACATTTGCCTGGGCCCTTTTTTGGGGGGGTGGGTGGGTGAGTGTTGGTGGCAGGTTTTTATTGGTGGAAAAATACAGCCTTCCTCTCTCTTCCGCTGCCTTGCACCTGTCCCCTTTGCTAGCTTTAGGTGAGAATTCAGGGCTACGCTGCCACTGGCTGTGGAAGTTCCACCGTTCTGGGTTATGCATAGCCCTTGATTGCGTTCGACATCCAAATGGCTCTGGTTTGTAGGGACCCCCCTCATGGGGAAAACACTCCCCACCCCCGTTATTTTATGAATTGCATTGCCTCGTTTTCTAGGTGGTGCATTACCTGTTCACAAAAGTATTTACTGTGTGTGTCAGTTGGGGTGCTTGTCTCTTCCAGCATTCTCTTTTTATGGTTTTAAAATACGGGATATTGTCGTGCCCTTGGTAGAACTGGACTCTGAGGGAGTGGAGGAACAGCCGACAGGGAGTGGAAGTGTGGCTCCGGAGGTTGTGGAGGAGGCTGGGGAAGGGCTGAGCAGTCAGAGGGAGGACCCAGGCCCATCCCCTCTCCATCCTAGGGCACGCAGGGAGGAGAGGATAAGGGAGAGACGTGGTCTCCTCGGGAGGAGAGGGCCTTGATCCTCTTCATGGGCTGCAGCTGGGACAACTGAATAAGAGGATGGACCTGCGTACTGGCAAACGCTGGAAACAAAGCGTGGAAATATCTCTAGTTTATAGTTCCTCTCTGAGTTTGGCGTCCTTCCCAGTGCATGTTCTGTTATCTGTGGACGTCCTCCAGCCCTTATCTTGCCTGGTTTGTGTTGCTTTTTTCCTTCTTTGTGTAACTGTTCGTGTGGGAGTCTTTTTTGCCTTCTGTCCGGAATATGCAGAGCTTGGAAACAAAGTGAAGGAATGAAGGGGGCTTCACCTGTTTTCCGTGACTGTGTTTGGGTCATCACAGATATACAGTTGATTCCCTTTGTTGAGTTCAGGAGTACATTACTCCTGCCAAGGGAGGCTGTGTAGGCTCCCATTTTACAGATAATGGATTGAGGGAGAGTTTTCAGAGAAATTTTGAAACGAGGCCTTGAAAGTTTACTGGTACCTCTTACTGATTAAAAAGAAAAGTCAAAAGGTTTGTCACTTTGCATTGGGACACACCCGGACTAAGTACTTGCTTTTTGGAGAGATTATTAACCCTGGGTGTTCCAAAGCTTGCCTCCAGAAATTGTGGGTTGCTCCAACACTGGAAGATTGGATGATCACTTGCCTGAAATTGGTATTGGATTTTATGCTTGGGCGGGGTGGGGGTTAGGCTAGAAGACCTCCAAGGTCCCTTCCGACTCTGTTATTCTGTTATGATACTGCTTTTCAGTTCAGTGGGGACCTGTTTCTGGGTAAACATGAGTAGAATTGCACTGTTGGGTTGTTTGATGAATGCCAAGTGGAAGTGTGAAACGTTCAACAAACATTGCACTGAAATTGACTTGCCCTATTGAATTGACTTTGAAATTGACTTGCCCTATTGAATTGAATTGCCCTGTGACATTGAGTTGTTGTATCAAAATTGACTTTCCCTGTTGACATTGAGTTGCCCTGTTGAAATTGACTTGTCCTGTTGACATTGACTTTCTCTATTGAAATTG